CTACCGACACAAACTAAATGTACTTCCGATGATGTATTATCCGTAATTGTATTTTTTTTTTATACCATTATACAGTTTCTAAGGACGTTCTCCTCTTCCTGAAATAGCTATTAATCAGATGGGGGCATAACACTTAACAAAATATGGGCTGTTCACAGGTTGGCCATAACTATCAGCAGGCAACGAAATGAAGTTTGTGTTGTCGCTCAACCTTGATGGCGACCTAAGTGAAGCGCTTACAATTTAACCTTTATACGAACATGTTCTGATTGCCTGTACCATAATCCAGAAATTTAAACTTTTGGAAAAGTATTGATTTATGCATACTTCACGATTGTGATTTATAATATAACTGATCGTGCCTGTACAAATGTCATGCATTTCTTGTAAACTTCCCCGTTTATACGAAACATAACTAACATAACATAACCAACTAACAAGACGAGAACAGGATGGAACACTGAAAAGATCTATCCACAGAAAGTCGACGTGGAACGGACAGCTTACTAACCTCCACAGTCCGGTACCCTATACACTAAACGAAAACTGATCAGTTCACTCAGCTACAGAGTTCGCAGAATTTGTACCCCGGACACCATAGAAGATGAACTGGACAATCTCAAGAGAATTTTCGTCGAGAATTGTTATCCGGAATGATTTATTGCAAAATCTATGAATCCTAGACCACAAAGGCCGCCCATGTTTAGCGTCCAGAAAAACCTACTCTACATGAATCTTCGATTCAATGGAGATATATCTGCGGAAACACTAAAGAATCGACTGTCACGCTCACTTAAGAAGACCTTCTTCGTAGCTGAACTACGACTAACTTTCTCCACAAAACCTATGATTCATGTGAACGTGAAGGATAAGCTACCACTGCTGACCATCTCATCAATGTGTATTTATCAATTCACCTGCTCATATGGAGCCAGGTATGTCGGCCGTACCCAGTGTTCGCCTTCCAAACGTATCACCGAACACTTACCAACATGGTTTTACAAAGGAGAAAAACGATGCCTTCGCATCTCTATCTTAGAACATCTGATGGAATCTGGACACCAAGCCACACCCCCGAAACAAAATTCAAAGTCATCTACAGAGTAAGAAGTAGTCTTCTTAAAGGTGTACGAGTCAGACTTCTTCAAACTGCAGAAGCAATGGCGATTGATTCACTTGCTAAGCCCAGAACTCTGCATACAGAAGAAGTTCGTTCAATCACTACACTTGCAATGGACGTAATCTGTCTTATTACCCGACAGGTAAATTGTACGTAATCTTTTTTTCTTCTGTCTCTTCACTAGTATTATGTTGTCTTTTAAATTGTAATGTTTTACATTTTCAACCTTCTTGTTCTCTACCCTCACCCGATTTAATTTCTACGCCTCATTACCACTGTTACTGACTTGACCAACGCTCATTTTCTGGTCATTTATGTTACGTCATCCAACTTGTTTGATCAATTTCACTTCTAATTCAAATGGCATTATTCTCTACCCCACCTCTACTAAATGTCTACCTGTAACTACCTGTGTTGCTGACCTGACCTAAGTTGAAACATTTTAGTCAATTACATTACGTCATCCAACTTACTCAATCTTACTTTAGTTGCTGGCCACTTAAACTTGTTTGCATATCAGATCATTCTTGGATTACCTGATCAATTTTCTAAAGTTGACAAACCTCATGTGCACACACACACACAGATAATCATTTATAAATGCGATTGTACAGCTATGTGAATGAATTCGCCGTCGAAAAGAGTCTCTTCGCTGGAAGTCTTATCTTTTACATAAATTATTATTGTTATTAAATGAGTGGCGTCAAGTGTTGAGTCGTTTGTTAGTTGCAGACTGAATCTAATCAGTCAAGTTTTACTATGAGGTTACTACGCTCGCAATTACATCACTGTACACACTCTGAATTGTTGTCATTGCACGGTTTAAGCAAAATGTGCAGGAAGCCCTTTTTACACGTAGGTCTCTTGCTTGTTTGCACTCACCCGTTATCAAGGCGTATCTGCAATCTTCAAGGAGCTCATAATATCCCTTCTGAAATTCAAACTTGTGTCAACCAGTGCTGCAGTCAGATGTGTTACCATCCAGCTTCTGGAACTCGCCATTGACCTCCTGTAGGATTGTACTAAAAGTTGAATCTCTGGTTGGACATCAGATGTTAGCGAGTGTGACTAGTCTAATGATACCACACAGTCTACAAGGATTATTAATTGTAGACACGTGGTTAAAACATTCAGATACACGCACACACACACGCACAAATATCGTCATTCACAAGCTACCAAATCAGCTGGAAGCGTCATCCAGTTATTAACAAAGTATATCACACTGTGTGTAATGTCAGTCAGATGACCTTATCCAATAGGCAGTAATATTCTAAAAATGGATACTGAACAAAGAATCAATACTCTTTTCGATGAATTCATCATCACGCTCTACAGTTATATATCGATCCATTATAGTGAATGAATGAATTAGTATTATGAACAACATTAATGTCGGTGTTTAAAAAATATCGGACCAAAAATAATAATACCAGTGGATTACAGTTCAATAGCATCAACATAAAATAAGCTGAATGTCAGTTGAATTAGGAAAGATAATATTACAAATTCATGAATTTATAGTCTCTACTGAAGGCCTTCAGGACAGTAATAGTGGCTGGTTGAACTTGTTTCTTATGCACACAGAGCACTGGTTGTTTGAGGTGAATTGCAATAGCTTTTGCTGTTTGCAGCATGCGGTGCTTCGATGATTTTGGCAATATATTAGGCACGCGGTTAATGATAGCGAAGGATTCTTCAACGCTGGCTTTGTGGCCAGTTTGCACCAGATGGTCCAATATCGAACTGTTAGGGGTTTTCGTTACACCTTTACTTAGCCATGCTGGGAGATGTTCGCGAGTACGAAAAATCAAGCTCCACAAGCACAGTTGAATTGGCAGATGCAATTTAAAGTGGCCAGGTAGTCTACATACTTCATCTTTCACTCGAGGTAGCACCATCGGTCGTGTAGAGAATAAGACGCGTAGTTCGTCAGCATTAAAACTTCTCTGAACTGATTTTCTCAATTTCTTCGCAATTATTTCGCTTGGTATATCACCCTTGAATTGCAGTCGTATATAAATTGGCTTCTTGTTTAAAGATAGTGACTAGTCCTTTTCCGCCACTTTCTTTGTCATGTGTTTCTTGATAAATTTGTCGGGATAATCACTTTCGATCAAAGCATCACGTACAATGCTTAATTCATCTTCAGTTACTTCTTCTGAGCACATAGCTGTGACTCTGTAGCTGAGGGTCTTCACTAAATTTCTTTTGCACTGGAAAGGAACGAAGCTGTGAAAATGTGTATATTCTCCTGTCCAAGTACTTTTTCTATGCAAATTTCTCTTTGTGTTACCATCTGGTTTTCTTGTAAGGAGGACGGGGATCCAGGAAGACAATTCATTCTGTTTTGGGATTCCTCTTCGCATGTGAATTTCATAGCCGAATGTACTTCATTGAATTCAGTAATTATTGTACTCCTATCAGAACCATTATCACAAAGAATGAAGGTGTCATCCATATATCGGCAATAAAATGAGAACTTACTGATAAGGTTGTTCAAAGGTCCATTTTCTAGCTTACTTAGAAAGAAGTCTGCCAAAATGGGACCCAAAGTGGAGCTTATCGCCACCCCGTTCATTTGTCTGTAAAGCGTCCCGTCAAATTTGAAGTTTACATTTATGGTACATACACCTTAATAACAATTCTTTTAGGATCTCAGCATGTATGCCAATGTTTATCGACTGCTTTACCACTTGTTCACATATGTAATTAACTGTTTCTGTTATAGGTACATTTGTGAATAACGATGTTATGTCCAAAAATATCATGGTTTTGTCCTTGATATTAATATCTATGATTTTGTCTACAAATTCAAATACATCTTTGACGCTATATTTCACTATCTGATATGTATCCACATATATATTTATGTGTGTGTGTATGTTGGTCTCTCTTTCTGTTTGCTCGGTTAGTCTGTGACCACTTCACTTGTGTGAACTTGTCTCCTTTATTAATGTGTATTCTCCTTATATTATATTATATATAATATGAGTGTTTGTTGACAGTCCGTTGCTTGGTGACATATATCCATATATGTTTGTTGGCATGTCTGCTATATTCGCTATGTATAATTGGATCGACACTCCATTATAATTAGCCATTCATGTTAAGACTGTCTAATGATTTTCCCACGCTTGTCTGAATTATTTATATATATTCGCATTCACAATTTGTGTGAACTACTTTACTTTACAACTACTTGATTTGCTTACCACTTTGGTGTGAGACCATTTATTTTCGTCTCCTTGTGTTTGGACAATAGAAGTATCATCGCAAACCTAGTGGTCTTCTGATTTCCGCCTTCTCGCGTCAGGACTATTAATTTCTCGACCAGTCCATAACAATAATCTAGTCGACGAGTACATAACAATTTGGCGACGGGGAAAACTAGTACATAACACTATCTTATCATACAAAAGTTTGAGAATATTTAATAACCATCTAGCTAGAGCATGGTAGGGCGAAATGCGCATATCAAGTATTGGTCTCCTAACGGTACCCCCGGATTATGCACTTTAAGTAGGCCATACACATATACCCACCGGTCATTATTTCATAACAACCGATTGGTTTTGATAGCTGTAATAGCTGTAACACGAAAGAATTATCTGTCATACATAATGTAAATTGTAACTTGTTTATTTATTTAAAAAGATTCACACATGTAAACAGGTGGATGTAGGCAGAAAAAGGTATGCGTATATGAATGACGGGGAGAAGGCTAAATGCACACAGAAAGTGGAAATGCAGCTCTTTGTTTTTTTTGTTTTTGTTTTTTTTTCAAAAATCTCTGTCTTTATAATCTAACATGTAAAAAAATATGTAACAAACAGTGAATAGAAAAAAAACCGGAGGTTAACAGACGCAATGGTGAGAGTTAGTGTTGTTCTTCAAGATCTATATTGCCCAATTCTATTTCGTCATCATTATATATATTTTCCGCCTGAAAAAAAAGCCAACACAAACGAAAATGTTAAATTCTCAAGTACTGGTTTGTTTGAGGGATTTCATCATGAGCTGACACCGGTTAGAGAACCATTGGAAAACCAGCTGGGAGTACTGGATCGTTGTTTCGTCGGTCTAGTTTGGGACTCTTCGGTAGTACGCAGCCACCGCCACTGGGTTTCAAACCCAGGACCTTCGGGTCTACCAGCTCGCCTTGTAACCAGAAGGTCCGTGTTTCGAACGCTGGCATTTAGTGGTTCTCTAACTGATGTCGGCTCATGATGAAATCCTCCAATAAACAGGTTAAACGTTTGTAAGTTTTGTGATGCAAGGTGAAAAAAGTGAAGGAGAGTCGACAACCTAATTAGTCAGACGAATGATGATCTAGTCCCAATGTCACGTGACAGTGCAGACCAATTTCAAATCAGTTATTATTTCATACTACTGTTGCCTTGATTACACCAAAAAAAAATAGCTAGCTTAGGTAATCTACTTGTTAACCTCGTCTAGTTAACTGGCCTGCTAGTCAGAATAGCAGAGCACAAAACTACAGCAAAATCTAGACTAGCGGACCCTAATAAGATAAGCAATCTGGAGAATAGTTTAGCTATAAGACTGACTACATGCAATTACACACAGCCATACAATATAGGATGAGGGGATAAGATGACAGTTTTAAATTCTAATGTCACAGGGTGAATAGAGGGAGAGATTTACAAATGACTAAGGCTTTATTTATTGAATCAACTGAAAGGGAACACGGGTGATATAGAAATGACTGAACACTTATTCACCCAGACATATGGAAAATTCTACTACCCCTACGGCGACGAATAGTAAAGAATAAAGAAAAGCATAAGACGAAAGTTTCGACGTTGTGTGGTTATAATTCACATGATAATGAACAACAAATAAATTGTGTCGGAAACTTTATCATCCAGTGATTATTGATACCGTCTCACTCTGCATGTGATATATCTAATAAACACAATAATACGGAATCACATATTACCACAGTGCCCAAGTTTTACACAGGTATTAAGAATAAGTTCCACTGCCAGCTGAGTGAGTTTCTAAAACAGACGCGTCAAACATATATTATTGTAGTATACGCTGATGACTTTAATGAACAGGTAGTGTTAATGGATTAGAGGAGAGTAGTTCATGTGGTCGTTGTGGAACTATAAGGTTGCAAGTCACAAATGGGAATTGTTCTCTGTAGTTTTTCGCACATTGCAAACTAATTCTATAGTCAGCGCCAATTTCCGACATAGCCACCGCTGCCGTAGTGCTACCATCTAGTGCTCTACCCCCTTGCTTGCCACACTTGAGCCTGAACACAAATACAGCACATTGCAATCAGCTATCGATGACATGACTATCGCTCCTTCTGTAGAACATTTTTGAATTCTGATCATGTTTAGCGTGTAGCCACCCAGTGATCACAAGTGTCGTCCCTAACAGATTGATGGAAGGAAACTAGTAGCACATGATACCTGGTTAAACTCAAAGTCAGCCTACCTTACCTCCAGGTCCTTCCTCTGAGTTCCGAGTGCAACACACAAGGCATAAGCTCGAAATCTGCCATAATTTTCTACCAACTCCATGAGTGCCTACAACAGATGAACTGCTATACGTAAATAGTTGTCAGATGTGAGAACTTGTCCTTGAGGCTTCTCTGCAGAAAAATGGACGACTGAAAAGGACTACTCTTAGCGTCGCTGCGAAGAATGTTGTTTTCAAGGATGCCTGAAATTCTCCTCCTTAGGATATCACAAAGTAAGTCTCCCTTGAAATCTAGGTTCATGTAAAGTTTCTGTTTTAGAACAAGTGGTGTTTCGTTCCTCTGGACTTGTCCATGAATCTTGGTGGGTATGCATTTGGACGAAGGTTACTTTCAGAAGACGGAGTTTTGCTTTCAGGGTGTCAGAACTGCAAATGAGTCGGATGTGAGTGGCAAGGGATTTAATTACATTTTTTTAAATTGTACAACGGACACCCACTTGTAGAGACTTGTTAGTTGACCGTTCCAAATAAGTTTTCTATAAACTAACATTTTTAAAGTTCTCTCAGGTTGTCTTGTTAATTCCAGATCAAGATATGGGATTTTTGTCTCGTTTTCCTCTCCTCGAGTGAATTTTATTGCTGGATGGCAGTTGTTAAGTACTGACTCGAATCGCAGGCAGAGTTAGGCATACGAAAGAAAATCATTCAACCACTTCTACTGCCATGGTAACAACCATGTTGATGTTTGCGTGCCTGCCTTTATTTTCTAACTCCTTATAATTCTTGTATTCTTATTTGCACCTATTACATGACTGCATATTTCCCTCCGCTTGATTTCTATGCGCATCCTCCTAAACAAAACTCAGTCATTAAATTATTGACCTTATTGCGCAACTTCAATACACTTACTTATTCAACTTCTCCTTTATGCATTGACTAAAACTGACAGTATCTGTAAGTATGGTGTGTACTTTGCGCAGTCTAAATGCAAAGTGCTGTTGCAAGATTGGTAGGAGCCTGTAACTGCACTTACTCTTGCGGGTGAACCGCTTGAAGTTGTTGATAAGTTTATGCATCTGAGTAGTTGTGTGAGTGCTGGTGAAGGGGTGACGGATGAGATTTCCAACCGTATGATGAAGGCTAGGGTGGCATAATACATCAACTTCAGCCACCTCTGGCGCCGTCGCGACGTTAGCCTGACTGTCAAAGGTCGGGTATACAATGCTTCGGTGCGGGCTGCGCTGCTCTACGCCTGTGAAACCTGGCCTCTCCGAGTAAGTCGAGGATGTGCGGTGACTCTGCGCGTTCGATCACCGCTGTCTCCGCAGGATTTCTTGTGTTCGATGGATGGCATCACCGCATGAGTAATTCTGAGGTTCGGCGGCGTGTTTTTGAACACAATGGAGATCACCATTCATTGAGTGTCGTCGTCATCTGGAAACACCGCCTCCGGTGACTTGGACATGTACTGCGAATGTCATCCCAGAGGCTTCCGTACAGGTGTCTCTGTTCGCTGGCCAGCCCTGGGACGGGGTGGAAAAGGCGGAGAGGTGGTCAGTCCATGATATGGCATCGTGGGATGAAGGATGTTCGTGCTAGATTAGCATCGGTTGGTGCGTCACGACTCCCTGGTTGGGTTCCGCGAGATAGCTCGAATCGATGGCTTGAAACGTTATCGGATATGGTCAAGAATCGTAATCAGTGGTGAACATGTTGCAATTTCTTTCTTTCTTCCCTTCCCGATGATAGTTAACGAATACTGTTTGAACTTGTTAAGCATGACCGTTTTCCTTCCAGATGAAGTTCTTTATCCGTTCTCTACTTATATTTTTTTTACTTTTGATCTATGTTGTTTTATTATTAATATTGTGTGGGGCATCTTTCTAGGTGCCATATTGTACAAAGTTTTTTTCTGTGTTTATATAAAGTAAAATTAAAACAAACATCTTCCTACAAGACTGTCTTAAACTAGATTGATTCCGATGTTTTGGTTTCATCACTGTTAACTATTTTCCAATGTGACCCTATGTCACCTAACATCTCTCGAATAGGAAGGCAATGGCTAAGGAGGCCTCGGTATTATATGTCCTAACTATCTCACAATCGAGGTATTTTTACAACTCCATCGACTGATTTTTCCCTCCCTGCTTGCCTAATACATAAATGACACCTAAACTCAACATTACTTACCCTGTTATACCACAACATAACATGTATGAACAAAGACAGCTAGCCTTTTCATCATAAATTCCGCTTTGAATGACAACAACAAATGCTACTCTCTCTCCCTTTCACCTAATGAACCAGAAGAATTTGAGAAGACGATGTAATAGAATAAAATTTTGATAGCGTTATTAGAAGATGGAGATTATCTGAAAAACAATGTGATGTATTTGCGTTATACATTTCCAACAATCTGATCCATCACACATTTACTTGTCAAGTCGATATATATGGAAAAGTTGAATTAAACATTTTCGACAAGTGGATGGCGTTGCTATGTGGAGTCCATTAGGACATTTGTTAGCAGACGTTTACATGTTGAAAACTTATCCTTTGATTCAATTTCTAAATTGCCCTCCTTCTATGGGAGATATATAGATGATATCATTTTGACATGCGACGATCATGAAGATGAGAGTCGTCTATTAGACAGACTTAACTCTGTACATTACAGTATAAGAGAGGCTTGGTGAAATGTCTATTTAAGAGGATTCAACATATTTGCACGGCTGATATAATAGACAATGAAAACGAAATATTGATGGACACTCTTGTTGAAAACGGGGGTATCCGTTGAAATTTTTAAACAGGTGTAGAAGTCAACTAGTCTCTAAACCTACAATTTATACAGCCCTTAAGAAAAATTTTTTCATCAAATTACCATATAACGGGGAAATAAACAGTAGGATTTTGAGACAAAGGTTGAATTCAATCATCCGTAGAACCTACTATGCAGCCCAGCTTGTAATTGTGGAAAAAGCTAAAAATATGCTTCACTCTAAACCTCAAAAGTGCACAAGTGGTTACGTCACATCCCACACTGCTTACCAATTTTCGCGCTTTGCACATGAGGGTTGGAGATCATATACCAAAATTGTAAGAAAAACAAATGAATGGTGAAAAACCAATAGATGCAGGTGTCAGACTACCAACTCCGTCTATTGCTAAACATCTAATCGAGATGATCCATGAGATTGATGTTAACTCACCCTTTAAGGTCATCTATAAAAACGGTCAAGGGCACTTATGGAAATACGCTGAGGCTATAGCTATTCATAAACTTAGGCCCCCCTTGTATATTCGAAAACAGTAAACGTCTGCTAACAAATGTCCTAATGGACTCCACATAGCAACGCCATCCACTTGTCGAAAATGTTTAATTCAACTTTTCCATATATATCGACTTGACAAGTAAATGTGTGATGGATCAGATTGTTGGAAATGTATAACGCAAATACATCACATTGTTTTTCAGATAATCTCTGTCTTCTAATAACACTATCAAAATTTATAGAAAGGGACTAATTGTTTTAAATAAAATAAAAGCTAACAATGAGCAAATTTCCGATGATATTCTTAATTGTGGTTGACTGGATTGGGCGTTAGATTGTGCTTTTGGAGTGAGTGAGAAGACAAGAACACGCTGCACTGAACGATAAGAAAACTCTACAAAATCTAGACTTCATGCGTGAATGATTTTTATTTAATGTCACCCGGTAAGTGCGTGCTGTAGAACAGTCCCAAACTAGACCGACGAAACAGCTGTCCAGTACTCCCAGCTGGTTATACAATGGTTCTCTAAGTGGTATCAGCTCATGATGTTATCTGTCTGTCTGTCTGTTTTCGACGTAGAACTTTGAACCGATTTCCACCAGTTCAAGTCGCCACACTCCACTCCGTGTAGCACACAAATCAACAGAAGAAAGTAAAAAGAAATGCAAAATAGAGACAGTAAACACAGATATGAGACAAAAGGAATAGTAATGACGAACGAAGAACAATATAGTTTCATTGGAAAGTGTAAGTCACAAGGAGTGGATGCATCTGCACCAGCCAGCCACTGACAACGATTTTGAGCCATATCACCAATTGTCGCCAGTCATTGCTTTCTACCATCCCAACTAGTCAGGAACTCTGCGCCTTCCTACGTAACTGGCTGGCTTAAACTAACTGTTATGGATTTCATTGACTGGAGCCATATTTTGGTTTGACCGCCGCTAGCTCTTTTCCAACCTGATTCATCCTATGTCAGCTAACATTGCCCATCGAGGAAGGCGATAACTAGGCATACGTAACACATCTCCCGACCATCTCAGTCGATGTAACTTCACAACCTAGTCGATTGATTTCCCCTCCCATCTACCTAGAACTCGCCTGATGCCTCACTTCAATATTCCCCACCTTATTATACCACCAACCAACACGGGAGATACAGCGCAGGCACCTATGATCAAAGACAGCTAATATTTTCATGTCTTCCACTCTCAATGACCATGAAAAGATTAGCTGTCTTTGATGATACGTGCCTGATGTAATCCACCACCTGTCACAAAAACACAAACTTAAAGAATTATAAGAGAAAACCAACAAACTGGCAGAAGACGCTGGCTGGCAGCGAAGATAGGACTCCATCCAGGTGAACATAGAGAAGGCGGAGATGGAGATGATGAAGATAACCAATCACCGCCACCATCAACAACAACAACAACAACCAGCACCAATGATCACCACCAACGGGAGAGATGTAACAGAGGTTACTTCCTTTACAAACCACTTATCTTGGAAGCATCGTTTCAACCACAGACAGTGGGAAGCTATGAAGATGTCAAAGCGAGTCAGCCAGGCAGGCAGAATTGGAAAAGCTAGATACACCATCATCAATCGGAAACCAGTTCGGAAATTGTCTGCTTCACTCCACCTCGGCATAAAAGAAACATTTGGATTTCACAAACGTCAGTGAAGTCAGTCAGTTACTTCTTTTATACGGGTGAGAAACTTGCACTGCGCGTGCGTCACGAAAAGCATTCCCAACAGGTCACTCTGCAGACTTTTACCAACTGCTACCACCTTAGCTAGCTAGCTGGCTGCCTGGCTCCATACTGAATGAATAAACCAGCCAAGAGCTGCCGATTGCTCAAAAAATATGTAGGAGAAAATGGAGACGGATTTATTGGGCATACGTGAGGAGGCATACAATGCAGGCCATTGCTCGAGTGGAATCCCAATGAGAGACGACGGGCGAGTGGATCGCCGGTGCGAGTATGAGACATGGTGCAGATCGTGTGAGTCAGTGGAAAGGGAGATGAGCGATAATGGGCAGTGGTGGACCCAGTGGAAGAGATGTGCTTTTCAAGCCGAATATTCCACTCGGAATTCAAGAGAATAAAAATACGTGCCGACTGAATACCCACATCAGCAATGTAAGACTTTAAAGATTAAAAAAGCAAGTTAAAATGATGACAAAAACTTCAAATAGTCACACTAACAACTACAAAGTAGTTTTATCCGTCAAGTGTGACATATTTACTCCTAAAAAGCAAAAATCATGAAGTTAAATGTCAGTAACCTTAACTTGCTTACCATTTGCCAAATTTGTAAAATATTATCCTCAGAAACAGAACAAATAGTCCATGGATCATTAGCATTCCATGAAAAATCGGAAATCTTTGCTGTATGCCCAGCATGTATGAATAATAATTCAGGTGGACCATCATCTGCATCTTCAGGCGACTGATCGATACCAATTTTGCTTAAATCCCAAACATGAAGACGTCGATCAGTACCTGAACTACCGAGTATAGTTTCATTATGTGGTGACCATTGAACCTGTTGGTGTAAACAGAGTTAATACACATTTTAAATAAGTATTATAATAAAAATAATAATAAATTGTTCTAACAGTACTATTGAGCATAAAATAAAATCTCTGAAGGATATTTTATCTAAGAATGAAGGTATCTTTAGAAGTTCATAATTAAATAATATTAAGAAATTAGTCCCTGCGAAACAATCCAAACAGTTCCGAAGAAATCTGTCTACATCAGTTTGCCCCATTCAAAGGAGATGATGTACAGGAAGTAGTCAAACAAAGGCTTGATAAAGCCATCAAGAGAACTTATTATGCTGCAAAACTTGTTGTCCTTATCACAAATAAGTCAGTGCTTCGACAATCTGGGAAAGACCAGTCGCCAATCCTGGACACTTCAAACTGCGTATATCAATTTTAGTGTTTGTGGCAGCAAATACATAGGTCGTACGGAAAGGCGATTGTCTACTCGCATGATGGAGCATTTGCTAAAATGGTTGAAAACAGCTGAATGAAAAGTGGTCGTCACTCTGTATCTACCATGATAATAAAATTTACTTATTATTCTACCTCTTATTATTATTAGTTATTATTCTCGATTCATTTAAAATTATCCTTTATCGGTAGCATTATCTTAACTCACTTCAACATTATTACTATTATTATTGTTATTATTATAACTACTACTAGTGATATTGATTTGTTTGCAATTCTTGTTATATTCTCTAATGACTAATTGTTTATCTAAATGATGTGTAATTGAAGCGTAATCTTAATCTTGACATAGAACTTTGCACAAATGTGCGGAAGTTCAAGTCGCCACACTACGTGTAGCACGCGAAGCAAGAGAAGAAAGTACAAGAAAAGCATAATAGAAACAGTGAGCAGAGGTGTGAGACAAAGGAGTAATAAAGAAATACAAAACAGTTTCATTGAAGATCATAAGTCACAGGGAGTGGATGCATCTGCGCCACTGAGAACGGTTTTGAGCCATGTCACCAATTGTTTCCAACCATAGATTTTTACCGTCCCGAGGACCCCAGCCTGGAAGTCTACACCTTTCTACATGGCTTAGACCAACTGTTGTGGATTTCATTGACTGGTGCCAAGTTTTTGTTTGACCGCCGCTAGCTTTTTTCCAGCCTGACCCTATATCTGCTAACATTGCTCGTCGAGGGAGGCGATGGCTTGGCATACGTAACACATGTCCTAACCATCTCAGTCTTTGTAGCTTCACGACTTCGTCGATTGATTTCCCCTGTTTACCTAGAACTCTACGCCTAACCTCCATGTTGCTCACCTTATTATGCCACTTTACACGGGAAATAGAGCGCAGGCACCTATGATCAAAGACAGCTAGTCACCTTTTTCATGTCTTCCACTCTCAGCGGCCAGGTCTCACAACCATAAAGGAGGACGGAGCGGACTGATGAGCAGTACACCCGCCCTTTGGTCGATAGTCGAACATCTCGTCTACGCCAGAGTCGGCGTAAACTGGCAAATGCGAAACGAGCCCCCTGTATTCGTGCTGAGATTTCGTCAGAGATCAAGCCGTTGGCACTGGCTGATGGTACTTCCCAAATAAGTGAAGCGGTCAACGTGCTCCACCAACCACTTAACTTCCTATTTTTAAACTAGGCGTCGATGTAGTCCAGTCCTGTAACATCATCTTGCATTTGGCGGGAGCGAATCGCTCGCATGCCAAACATTCGTAGATTGCGGCTCAAGGTGTTTAGAAGACTCTGCATTTCGTCAGCGTCTTCGCCTAGAAGGACTATATCGTCTGCATATTCCAAGTCAACGAGATTATTCCCCGGTAGCAAGTCTGTCTGTCTGTTTTCGACATAAAACTTTGCACAAATGTGCGGAAGTTCAAGTCGCCACACTACGTATAGCACGCGAAGCAAGAGAAGAAAGTACAAGAAAAGCATAATAGAAACAGTGAGCAGAGGTGTGAGACAAAGGAGTAATAAAGAAAAACACAACAGTTTCATTGGAGATCATAAGTCACAGGGAGTGGATGCATCTGCGCCACTGAGAACGGTTTTGAGCCATGTCACCAATTGTTTCCAACCATAGATTTTTACCGTCTCGAGGACCCCAGTTTGGAAGTCTACACCTTTCTACGTGGCTTAGACCAACTGTTGTGGATTTCATTGACTGATGCCATGTTTTTGTTTGACAGCCGCTAGCTTTTTTCCAGCCTGACCCTATATCCGCAAGTCAATCCCTGAGTCGCTGAAGTCACTTAGGGTTAAGTCCATTAACACATCTATGATGAAGTTGAATAGAAAAGGAGATAATGGGCATCCTTGACGGACACCACTAGTCGTCATCAGTTAAGATGACAGCTCGCCGTAAGCCCTCACCTGGCTGTATGAGTACGAGTAGAGTTCCTTAATCAGTGCAATATATTTTCTTGGAATTCCCTTTACAGCCAAGCATCTCCAGAGAACTTCCCGGTCGACAGAGTCGAATGCTGCCTTTAGGTCAAGAAATATAATGACTGTTGGACGCCGGTAGGAATTCCTATGTTCTAGAATCTGTCGGAGGGTGAAGATATGATCAGATCAATACACCCTCTTCCTGGTCTAAAGCCTACCTGGTTCTCTCGTGTTTGTTTCTCCCGAGTACCACTTAGTCTACGCATGATTATTGAGCCTAGAGCTTTAGATACTATATTAGTCAAGCTAATTCCTCTGTGATTATCACAGGAAGACTTGTCTCCCTTCTTGTATATGGGGATAATCAGTGACTTACACCAACCCGATGGGACTTCTTCTGATTCCCAAACGCTGCCTAGTACCTCAGTTAATCCGGACAGTAAGCTGTCTCCACCGTACTTAAATACCTCTGGCGTCATTCCATCAGGTCCCGCTGCTTTGCCTAGTTTCAGATTGGTGACAGCTTTAGTAACCTCAGTTAGTGACGGAGGACCTGTATCTATATCCCATTCAGGGAGGTGTTGGATGCTCGGAAGGTTGAGCGTGGCTGTGGGCCAATTAAACTGCTCCTCATAGTGCTCTTTCCAGTATTCCAATCGTCTATTCTGAGAGCTAATTATAGTGCCATTTTTTTCCGAGATTCTTTCACTAATGATTTGTCTTCTCCCATCCGTTTCCCTGATGAGTCTAAATAGTTGCCTGGTGTTGCCTAACCTCGAAGCTTTCTCCATCTCTTTGGCTTTTGTCACCCACCACTGTTCACGGTCCTTGAGGAGACTTTTCATAAGTTTCCTCTTGTGCAGCTTTCGCTCCTCATTGAATTCGGAGCTCGCCGGAATGAGTGTTCTAGCATCTATCAGTTCGGATGAGGCGGTAGAGATCCAATGGTTTTTACTCACCTTTGGATTTACCTGATTCACAGCTTTTACAGCTGTATCTATGGCTGCCTGAATACTCTTCCCAGCTTCTTCAGGGTGAGCACAGCTGTCGAACACAGATATCTGTTTAGCTAGTTCTTCCTCAAATACGGATTTAGTTTCCTGATCGAGCTGGGGACGTGATGAGTTTACCGCCAGCTCTTTCCTACGTCCGTTCAGTCGTAAGCACACCCGAGCGCGGACCAGTGCATGGTCGGTATCTACACACGTGTTCCAGAAGGAGCGACAATCTCCTACCGACCCACGCCAACGATAGCTTATTGCTATGTGAATATATGTGTAAAACTTGGGCACTGTGGTATTAAGTAATTCCCCATCCCATCCTATAGGATGGGATAGGATGACAGTTTTAAAATCTAATGTCACAGGGTATAGGGAGAGATTGATAACAGAAGCTTTGTTTATCGAATCAACTGCAAATACATGTAATAGGAATGATTCAACACCTGTCCCAGATATATGGAAAATTCTACTGCCCATACAACAAATAGGAGAAGACAGAGAAAACTATAAAAATCAAATCTCGAAGTCGTGTGACAAAAATTGATATGATTATGAACAATAAATTGTGTTCGAAACGTCATCCAGTATACAATACTGTTTCACTGTGTGATACATTTAATAATCAAACTAATATGGAATTATTGCTATGTGGTCTATTTGTGTCCAGCGTTGGTTTGATGAAGGGGGTCTCCAAGTCAAACAGTGTCTCTCCTTGTGTTTGAAGTTAGTGCTTACGAGAAACAAATGATTATCAGAGCAGAACTGTAGGAGACGGTCATCGTTGTCGGTTCGCTGGCACGGAACTCCAAAGATGCCACCGACATCCTTCTCAGATTGACACAATTTCCCTACTTGCGTTAAAGTCACCAGCTAGAACGACTATGTCTGAGCGTTTAGCCTTACGCACCAAACTAGACAGCTTTTGGTAGAACTCATCCTTCGTTTCATCCGAACTGCAGTCAGTGGGGGCGTAGGCGGAGATTACGAAAAGGCATCGGGGAGTAGTGCAGTCCTTTCTCCTTTTTACTGACCCGTTCAGATGGACAGCACACATTCGGCTATCTACCGGGATACAGTCAAGCAATGTCTTTTCTGCCCTAGTACTCAAAGCTATCCCTACACCAGCTAATCCTCGTGAACTAGCTGTGGCATCTCCTGACACCCTCAAGGTGAATTTTGCAGATTCAACCTGTTGGCCAGGTGGGGTTAGGTGAATAACCACACTTGGGTCTTGTATGCGTGTTTCTGAAACACAGCATACATCAATGGCTCGGGATGCCAGGGTCTTGGCTAGTGATGCTTGTTGTCCTATTTGGCAAAGTGTCCTAACATTAGATGCTCCTATATGAAATTGGTGGCGCGGCTTTAAGAGGCTATCGGTGGTGGTTTTTTGGCTTCCATCGTCTTTAGTGGACACAGAGTGGAGAGGAATTGGAGAGCTATCAGGCAGAGGAGTTGCATCAGTGGAAGGAAGGCAAGATGATAGAGATGAAGATGACGAAAAAGATGAGTGAGTAATAGAGAGGTTTTGTGTGCATCTCGGATTGTGAGGGCAATTGTTATTTCCCAGCTGCCCACACCGTGGAAGTCGGTTGCGTGACCGCAGAGCCCAGGGGACAACTGCTTGAGGAAGAT